AGACGACTTCGAAGAAGATGGAAAATATTTGGAACGCCTGGCATGAAGCGTTAGTATTTAGCAGGGTTTATTGGGTTGGTGTAGGATAACTTACAGGATCATTCAAGTCTGCGATTTTACCCTCTTCCGCTATGGTGATTAGGAAGACTCCTAGGAAGACGTACCATAGGTCAAAGGCTAGTTACTTCTTCATGTGTTGACCCATATATGATGAAGAGTTGGTTGCTTCGTCGACCTCTTCTTCCGACCCGTATAATCCCAGTGATGATTCTTCGTACGTGTTTGTTCTAGATGTAGCATGTCAGGCTAGTTAAGGATATAAACATCCCTTAGAGCACTCTTACCTTCGCATACTAATAGCAACCGGGAAGACCGAGATATACATCATCACTAATACAATGTCAGTTGAAACAGCTCACATGGCCCAGAGACACAAACTTACCCATCAGACTAAACTGAACAGCAGGATGAATCTTCGACGGCGAAAATGTAGTAGCCCCTGCTGTCCTTGAAGCCGTAGATTGAAAGGACGCGGCACAGAACCGATGCCACACCGTATCTATGGCCGTAACCTCGGGATTATGCAGATCCAAAATCATGAAAAGCATGATATCTAGACCATTCAGCAGTATTAGTGTTCCCAGTAGCATCTACGTTGCTCCACTTGGGAACAGAAGTGTGTAGCATCGTCTGGGGTGGTCAAGGAGGAAATTTAGGGGTTCGCGGATTGCTGAAGTTGTGGGAGAAAGGCGGAACATGCACCAGATTATGAAGCGGAGCACGCAGGGATATGCTGTGTTCCCGATAAGAATCAAGAAGGCCATGAAAAGCATGGGAAAAGTGTTAGAGCGGAAGTTGACCATGGAGTTGGCTGTAAGGGTAAAGCCAAGGTTGTTGCATTTTGTCATGCGGGAGTAAAATGCCCTTGGAAGAGTTAGCTTCGTCGTGAAGTATCGTTAAAAGTAGACTTACCACCAGACCGGATGTATGCCACTCTCTGCGAGATATTCCCTATGGCGTAGATCCGCGACATAGATCCAGATTATCAGAAAAATGGACCCAAGCAATTGGAAGCCAAAGAAATAGCAACCAACTATCTTAGCCAACAGTTTCAGGCTCCGATACTCAATACCTCCCAATTCTATCCTCTGCTCTTCAGTTAAGTTGAGGAACTGCGAATTCCTGCCTATTGTTGGGGTATAGGATAGATATGGCGCCTGAGATCCTTTCGAAGCAGATCTGCTAAGGGGTTGTAGGGAGTGAGGGCGAGAGACGAAGCGAGAGCGAGATCTAGGACGAGATGCACTCCCCAGTACGAAGGCCGATGAAGCAGCTTGTTCAACGAACGTTGCGTGTGATAGGATCCTATCCAGCTTTCCTCTTTCGCGCAGACTTGAGGCACCAGCAAGAGAGGGCTCGATGGAGGTTGCTTTTGTAAGCTCGTCACCTGGATTTTATCAGCTTACTTATCCCAGGAATGTATTAGTAGGGTGATTTTACCGTCAGCTTCATCATCAACTTCATGAGCTCGATGGCCTGCCTCAAACTCCCTGGGACCAGGAATCCTAAGCGCCTTCTCCCTAGGTTTAAATGTATCTGTTGAAAAGGAATTATGTCCAGGTCCCGTGGTCGGCAGCTGTTTTTCAACATTAGGCTTAGAATTCTCTTGTCCAGCACTGTTAGGGGTATATGTAAGTCTATGCTTTAACCCTTCTGCATCTTTACTTTCTGTCTGCTCCGAGCGTTCAATGCCTATGTCAGGGGCTGTAGATGATCCAGTTGCTCTGTGGCCCCTTGGACCGCTTTCAACATGATGCGATCGTTCCGTAGATGGAAGACGAGAAAACCGCACTTTAAAACAATCAGTTAGTTGACCTCTTCGCGCTAAGGTTACGCAGGTACAATGAAGAGGAGAAAACATAGAAAATGTCTCCAGTACCGATCTCTTTGAATTTAGATTCGAACCAGTATAATCGCACAAGGACGACGATGAAGTTGATAAAACCCATGTTTCCCAGCAAAGGGACGATATAGAGCACCAACTGTTGGTAGATCGATATATCCTTAAAATCAATCCTGCAAATTTAGCCATCAGCAAAGTCTCGCCTAGAGCTTTAAAGAGATGGGTATATAAATCGGTGAAAACAATATATTTCTCCTGTATAACTCTGGAAAAGAAAAGGAGAAAAGTAACGCTTATCAAGGAATATATGACATCCGAATTCAAGCCGGTCGTGGTAGCAGCTCCCACTCCCTAGAATAATGCATCGATTGCACTGATGTTCTCAAAGGATATATCATAATCATGCAAATGATGCTGAGAGCAACGATATAGACATCTACCATTTTGATAATCGCACGCAGGCCGGCAAGCCATAGCCCATAGCAAAGTCTCCACCGCCATCAATGATAAAACGTACAATGCACCAATATATAGCGCGGCCTCGACATCTTCGGCCACTTTGCTGAAAACATTCTGAACATTTAAGCAAAACCCGATCTGCAATTTATGAAGCGCGGTACACGGCAGGCGGCTTCATGGCACTGAATACAAACATGTCCACCAACGGCACCAAGTATAAGGAAGAATAGAACAAAGAAGCTATCAGTTAACGAAGGCGAGTGAATATATAAATTTCCGGCGAAAGAGAACTGGGTCAAGGACATGGGTTAAACTCTCGCCAACCGTTTTATCTTTTCTTTTTGCCTCCACTATATACCAACTTGCGCCTAACTACTAGATACCCCTGTTTACTAAATCATCTACTTGGAGACCCTTATTCTAATTTTGAACCTTTAAATTATTTACCTAGTTTTGTACTATAACTCTAAGATAAAGGGAACGTACCTAAGGACCCTCCTTTAGCCCTATACTTCCCCTAAGCCTGCCCCTAAGGCCTTCTCTCTAGGTATACTGCCTCCCCTAAGCCTAGTCATCTCCCCCTAAGCTCCCCCCCAGGCTCTTCCCTAAGGCCTACTTCTTTAAGCACTCCCTCCCCTCAGTTCTCTCGAAGTTTGCTCTTTAGACCAACATGATTATGTAATGTGTAATGTGCCGTAAATTCAGCATTATAGTGAGGTTACCCTGTTCAAATACCACGTGGCCTATATTTTTAAGCTCAAATTTACAAAGCTAAAATCAACCTCTTCCTAACAGCAACTTCGGGCTTCAACATTTTTCAAGCTCTCTAGATATCGCTGGAATATGATCATATTATTATATCCGCCTTTAAAAGGACGATGCGAAAAACAGTTTCTATACATTGAGTCCTGAACAAGGAAAAGAAAAGGGACAAGCAGTCATGATTGAACAAATGAAAGAACACTAGAGCAGCCGCAGTTAGACCCTTGATCATGCATTTGGCCCAACCTGGGACTCTGTCCAATCCCAGAACTCTCTCGCGATCCCAGTACCCCCGGCGGACTTGGACTTAGCTGCAGCAAGCATATCATCGGAGACCTTCCAAAACTTCCCCCACGGGGCAACTAGACTACAGTTAGCTTGGACGGACAGAGGATTCCTGACAACCAGGCTCAACTTACTATAACAGCCTGACTTTTCAAGCGTGATTTGGGGCGAAAAGGCGGCAAATGATGCCGTGTAGGCTCCATAGACTGGTGGGTGCAGCATAGTCTTCAGGATACAATACATAATCGTCCCCTGGGTGCGCCAGAAGTCTGAATCGAGCGCCCCAGGGTTCAGTGGAACAGACAGGACACCATCAGCAGCAAGACGAGATGCGAATTCGTTGGCATGCAGATAATTTCCCATCTTGCTCATGCAGTATTGGTGGAGTTGTCCCTTCTTCTCAACTTCTGGCAGGTCCTGCATGAAGACCTTTGGCTTTACAGCCTCGGCGGCTGAGGATGAGACCCAGACTATGCGAATGGTGTTTGGGGGCGATACCTTGGCTGTCGAGACAAGGATTGGTGTAAGGAGCTTGGTAAGCGCGAATGGGCCGATACAGTTTACCCCAAGTTGGAGCTCATAGCCTTGCTTTGTCTTGCTACCAGGCTCTGGGTACCCAACTCCGGCGTTATTAAAGAGAAGATGGAGCGTTTGTTCTCTGCTGGCAAATTCTTCTGCAGTGGCCTTCAAGCTCTCGAGATCAGCTAGATCGAGACGAATGAAAATTAAGTCCCCTGCTGAATTAGGAACGGCCGTCTTGATGGACTCGATCGCCTTCTTGGTTTTCTCTTCCGAGCGCGCCAGCATATACACTTTGGCGTTCTTAGAGTAGAGGAGCTGGGTGATCTCCTTGCCGAGGCCTGTATTTGCGCCAGTAACGATAACGACCTGGCTACGTTCAGCAAAAGTATAAGATATGAGTATATGCAGTCGGAGCAATTACCTTGTCCTTCAAATCTGGGATGTCCTCATCGACGAAATGTGGCTTTCCTGGGAAAAATTGCCTCATGGAACTGATATAACCCGTCATTGTAATGGCTTTATCTTGTCGATTCTCTTTTGATGCAGGAGGAATTAGAATGTTTTGATAATTCTTCTTTGATACAGGAGGCTGTGGAATTGTTGATAGACGGTTGACTTGTGTCTGGTTTAATCACTGCCTGACACTTCGCTCCCTTTATATCAATCATCGCGCCTCCCGCTGTCATAATACAGAGTACAAAGTCCGAGTAGTCATCGGAGTTACTAGCGAGCCCCATGCGTATTGCACTACAAGCCGAAGGGATAGATGTTGGTCCGGATCCTTTGATTTACGTACATGCGCTAGATTACCGCGATGGGGATAAGGAGTCGCAAATGACTTATCGCCTATGGCCGTTTCGTCGTCTGATCCATGTTAAAAACGGCCATGGTATTCATCCGGGCACGTTCTTATCACCGCAGCTTCAACTATTTTCCTACTGATGCAGAATGACGACGGGTACGAGTGCTAGGTCAACGAACGACGGAAAGATTGCATGTTTATTATCTCCGTCCTCCCTTCAGTGGCTTTGGAAAGATGCTTTGGGCGATCTGTTACAGCCTCACGATTGGTCGTGTAGTGTAGTTGGTTAGCACATCGGATTCTGATTAGTCACCACTTTCCGGTAACCCTGGTTCGAATCCTGGCATGACCTTTTTTTTTTCCTTCTCTCTTCTCTCTTCTCGCTTTGATATTTGATATTTGTTATGGAGGGATGAGACTGTTGCATGTTATCGAAAGTGCCAAACAGAAAGAGATATTTCGAAACATACATATGCAGCCCATCTTAGTAAGACGACGAACTACTCGGATGTCCCTCTTTCACACTACCTAACTATATAGAGTAAAGCTGCTATATTTGGAATTAGTCACTACGTTTTCTATAGGTAATCCTAAAATAAAAAGCGATATCGTCCTACCCCTAATGAGCCTACAATCCCCTTCCTCTAGATATCTTAGGGCTTGGGGGGGAGGGGGGTTAGGGCCTTAGGGATTATGGAAGATATATAATTAGAGTGGTTAGGGTGAGTTAAGGTCTAGAGTATCAACCTAAGGAGAGGGTGCTTAAGTAGGTCATAGGGAAGAGCTTAGGGGGAAGAAGGAGGCTTAGAGGAAAGTACGCCTAGAGAGAGAGCCTTAAAAGGAAGGCTTAGGCGGGGAGTATACCTGAAGGAAGGGCCCTTGGGCAGATTTCTTTAATCTTGGAGTTATAGTATAAAACTAGGTATATAATCTAAAAGATTAATATCAAACAAGGGTATCCGAGTAATTATTTTAGCAAACAGGGGCATTCGAGGAGTTGGGCGTTTCAATAACAGTAAACCAATACACTAGAGTAAACACGATAAGTGTCTCTTAAGTTCATTCCCCTCTCCTAAGTAACTTCTCACCTTCTGACTTGTGCCTCGTCTTCCTCTCAGTCGTCACCATCTATCCTCGTCTGACGAATCAGTTCAAGAGTCGCTAACTTTGCTTTGAGCTGGACATTATCACTGTACTGGAAAATTACAGAGAATGTCCTAATACTACCGGTAATCTCCATAGCGTTATGGCCAGCTGTATTGAAGGGAATAATATCCGCCCCGTGCTCCAGAAGCAATTGGATGAGGGGGGTGTTCCTCATACTGCAGGCATGCATAAGCGGCGTGGCAAGACTTTTATCCTGGGCGTTGATGTTTGCTCCTCTCTTCAGTAGGTCCTCCACAGCTTTTTCAAGTTTATTCAGAACAGCAAAGTGGAGAGGAGTTTCGCCCTTAAGATTCTTTGCTTCTATATCAGCACCATGCTTTTCAACCAAGGTGCTGACGAAAGAAGGACTTTTTACGCCCATGGTGTGGAGAGCGGTGATGCCTTCAATATCTGCAAAGTTCACAGAAACTCCCGAACTTAAGAATTTCTCAATTATCCATATTCGAGCTTTGCCCGCGGCCAAAAGGAAGGGTACCTCTCCATGCCGCAAAACACGTGTAGGATCTGCTCCGCGCTGGAGGAGTAGTTCAATCAACGGCGCATCCCCACGTATTATGGCAAGTTTGAGCGAGGCTTCGCCATAGTAAGGGTCAGGCCCAGTAGTGGGATCAACTCCGTCATCCAGATTCGAAGACACAACTTCCAGGAAGCCTTCTCTTATAGCAAGACGCATCGCGGCCGCCTGTCGTTCCTCCTCTGAACCTTCAGCTTTACCGTACTTAATGGTCAAATAGGTACCAAACGCCCGCAACACATACGCCCGCTGGGTTTGCAAGGTTTCTCTGGACGGTTCGTCGACGAAAGCCTGCTCTTCCGTACATCTCCACACTAAATCAGCGAAATTTCGTGAGGGGTATTGGCGGAGAACATCATCGGCGCATGAATACGCTCCCTGACTCTGTAGAAATGCTGCAGTATCCTCGTGCTTGTGCTCTCGTGCGAGGGCAAGAGGGGTCTTTTCATTGAAAGTTATGGCATTAACATCGGCGCCATTTTGTATGAGTAGCCGGGCTATTTCAGTGTGGCCTCTCTTAGCTGCGATGTGAAGTGCGGTTGACCCGAACTTCCGACATCTGATATGTATCTTATCTATCAAGAGTTTCACGATGTCGATGGAGCCGTAGAACGCTGCCGTGTGAAGGGCACTGGAGAATCTCCGATTTTCCTTTTCAAAGGATCTTTTTTCTGCTTTCTTGCACTTTTCTATGTACCGTCGAACGACGGATTGGTTTCCTCGTTGGATTGTAATCTCCAATGCAGACCGATATCTTCCTTGTGGTAGTGTGATTTCGTCTGGTAACGTGAGGCCGTGCCGGTCTTGTTGCCGCAAGAGTTTGATATACTGCAGATAAGAGATGCGGGAAGTATGGGAGCGAACAGCATTGGCGAGATAACGGCTTCCAGCAGCCTTCACGTTCTGGTAGTCAACAACAGGTATATAAATGAGAATAAGATCGATAATTTCTAAAGGCAGGCTTTCAATAACCAGTGAGTTAACCATTTTCCTTGATTGTGGTTATTTAGCGGCAACTGTAGTGTGCGTACTCCATAGAGTGGAAGCAGACATCTTCCCCCTTTATACTCCGTATATATGGCCATATTGCTGCCTGTGATGCCAGGTTGCAGCCGTTGACTCACTCTATAGCCTCATCTATCGTCCAACTAGTTACGCCTGATCCACCTGAGGCGTTTTTTGCAGGGATCTCCAGGTTGATATCTGCAGCAGTACTCTGTAGCCGATGACAAGTCAAAACAACTGCTGGTTACAACCTTGTTTACGGAGTTGACGTGGAGTCAATTCTTTACTCTTACCTTTTCCCTTTCTTTATAAACCGAGGAAGTTGAAGTGCTCAATATATTTTGCCTTGTTTGTTTCGTTTGCTCCATCTGCCTAGTTTGGTCTAGTCACGTGGACGCCCTTTTTTTCTTTTTTTAAAGAACAATTCTACAAAAGGCCTAACGAACTACTCGAATACTCCGTACTTCTGTGCGGATAGCTTTGGTATATGCTAATCGACTTATTTGAACTTATCCGGGAAAAGATAAATGATATTAGATCAGCCGATTCCTCACAGCAGGATGTTCGCTTTTTGAAGTTAATTTGGGATATCACGAAAGCTTCAGGTGATGGCACCCTATTGGGCTGGACTTGCAAAGAAGGGTTAAGAAATTCGTGTTGCCAATATTCAAGTGCACAAGAGAGAAGAGTGAGCTTGTTCGTGGGCTGGAAACAGGCAGCTTACGTTAACCATGCTTGACTCATTTTAGACGCCAGTCAATTTTCGTCGTTCGTAGGCCCGCGTCGGTGAGGAAGGACGTTTTGGTCTACAAGGGCTTGAATATCACCATATCCAACCTCTTGCCTGTCAGGAGTAACTAGGGGTCCTTGGCTCCAAACCCTTGGACTTCAATACGCCTCTCGAAAATGCCGTTATCTGGCACCCTTTGTTTTAACGGGTCAAATTTCTGCTAAGAGTCAAGCCTCTTTTATAGTAATGACTCAAGCTCTCTTCAAGAGAACAATTTGGGTATCACGGTCAAACACTCCTTCACCATAGTCTCGACGCATATCATAGACATCTAGTTAGGCTTGAGCGTGTCATCTTTCTCATATCTCTCGTTTAGTTATAATAAATGCATCCGATGAAGTTGGAAGTTTTCACTTCATGGCTCCATCACGTGATTAAATGGTTAAGGTGGGTGGTCAACCAAAAGTAAAATTTCGCAGCTTGGGAGAGTAAATATTTATATCTCTCGAATTCCATTCTCTCTCTATCCTTTCTAATTTATACCCGTTTGTGCAAGAAAGATCTATAGATAGAGAGGATGGTGCACTCTGCGAGAGTTGGCGTCCTTGGTGGCGGCCAATTGGGTCGAATGCTGATGGAGTCGGCCAACCGTTTGAACATCCAGATGAACATTCTTGACACTGAGAATTCGCCAGCCAAACAGATCAGTGCTCACGATACCCATGTTGCTGGCTCGTTCATGAACCCGGAAGCTGTGCGTAAGCTCGCTGAAGTGAGTGACGTACTGACCGCCGAGATCGAGCATGTTGATACCCATGCCCTCGAGGAAGTGGAATCTCTCGTCAAGGTTGAGCCAAGCTGGAAGAGCATAAGGATCATCCAAGATAAATATGCGCAGAAGGAACATCTGTCGAAGTTTAACATTCCTCAGGCGGATTATCGGGAAATCCGGCAAAACGCCCCAGAGGAACTGACAAAGATTGGGGAGGACTTTGGATATCCATTTATGTTGAAATCGAAGACAGGAGCTTATGATGGAAGAGGTAGGCTTTGGACAATGACCTACCCTGGTTTAAGCTCAGTGGTTACTAACCAATCGTATGTAGGCAACTATACGGTCAAGGGAGAGTCAGATATATCTCCAGCCTTGGAAGCCTTGAAAGGACGACCACTTTATGCGGAAAAATGGGCCAAATTTAGAATGGTACGTAGTCAAACCCGAATGCTTCTCTGTTCTAGACCTTGCGTGATATAAATCAGTTTACTCAAACCATCACGTTTAGGAGCTTGCGGTTATCGTTGTCAAAACAAAAGACAACGTTTTATCATACCCTACCGTGGAGACAGTCCAGGAGGACTCTATATGCAAGCTAGTCTATGCACCAGCCCGAGGAGTATCCGACAAGATCAACGAGAAAGCTCAAGAATTAGCTAGAAATGCCGTTGCTGCTTTCGAAGGCAAGGGAGTCTTTGGAGTCGAGATGTTTCTCCTAGACGATGACTCCCTCCTTTTATGCGAACTGGCTAGCCGAATCCACAACTCGGGACATTACACCATCGAAGGATGTGGCCTTTCCCAGTTTGACACTCACCTCCGAGCCATTCTAGACTTACCCATTCCTCCACAAAGCTTGCAGCTACGACAACCGTCAGTTATGCTTAATATTCTCGGCGGATCGGCTCCGGACTCCCATCTAGATATTGCGAGGTTTGCACTCTCAATACCGAATGCTAGCATCCATTTGTATAGC